TGTAAGAGAGTGTGGAGAGGTCTGCAGCAAAGCAGTGCCTCTGGACCTGACAGAGCTGTCACACTGTTATCAGGGCGGCCATGGTTGTCTGAGAAAGACCTGACCCGGCTCCTTGCTACATTCTTCCTTGAGAACTTGAAATCCATCTGGCCACTGGCTTATTTGCACTTAAGGATATGCAGCCTGTTTTGGAAACACTGAGAACATGGAAGTCAGTCTTTAAACCTAGGGGAGTCTCTCCAGGTGCCCAGGTTGAGCTTGCCCTGCATATTGGATTTCTGGATTTCCAATAACTGGTACTCTAAAGCTGAATTCTTCGATGCTAAGTCTTTAAACGCCTTCATAAACGTCTCCTTGACTTTTTCCATCTCATCAACCAGTTTCTGCTTTTCTTCCTCCTCCCATCTAACAACGAACTTCTGAAAGTCCTCCTCATTTATTTTCTGCATTTCACAGTCTTGAGAGAATGGGACTCTGTGGGTGTGCTGGGCCGACTCCAGTCGGGCCTTGGTGGACTGCAGCTGCTCCTTCAGCATGTTGACCTCCTCCTGGAGCTTATCGTTCCGTGCCTTTGCATTTCTCCCAAGACAAGAATCTGCAGCGTGGCGGCGATGGAGGTGGCTCTGTAGAAAAGCTTGGTTCATAAAGGCTTTGTCACAAAAACGACACTGGTAGTGATTGGCTTGGGTCTGGCCTATCATCAACTGCTGGACGGACAGCATCTTTTTCTTACGCCTAGACTCCTGCTTGAGCAGTCTGATATCCTCAGCCTGCTTGGTGAGCAGCTGTTTGTTCTGCTCATAGCCACTCAGGTTCAGGTGTAACCGTTCCTCCACCACGCTCAGCTGTGAGGTGAGGAACTCTTGAGAATGCACCAGGTACTCGATGGTGAGCTGTGCCAGGCGGATGAGCTTCAACAGCAGTGGATCCACCTCCGACTGGCAATACGGGCACTTCTCATTCTCCAGTTTGCAGAAGGTGATGTTCATGATATTCTCCTGAAGTGTCAGGACATCTGTAGTTCCCACCACCTTGTCCACATCAATGGCTCCCAGCCGCCTCCAGTCAATGTTCTCCAGACGAGGTCGGAATTGGAAGAAGGGTAGGGGTCCAGAGGCTGAGTTGGGGGTGGCAGAGGCCCTGGGGAATGTACCTCCCTCTGGGGCATCATGTCTCTTCTGGCTGTTGGACGGAGGGTAGCAGATACATTTCTGGAAGGGCATTCTTGAAATCCAACCCGCTGACTACACTCTGGCTGGAGGAATAGGGCAGTCTTTCTTACCTGGCCAGGCCACCTGTAGTCGCAGGACACCACACCCAGTGTGAGCAAGTGACAGCCTGGACCTCTGCCGCAGCGGTTGCAGCCTAAAACCTCGATGGCCAGGACGGTTGCCATGGCAGCGTGTAGCCTTCTCTTGGAGCTTAAGGCCTGTCTGCTCACAAGCATTCAGACTGCGGCAGAAGACCTTACAAACAAGAAGAGTTACATTCTAAAGAACTTAAAAATATTACAGCAACTTACAGACCATGTGACTCTCACTTTGGGAGTCTTTATGGTGGTGTTGGTGTTGAGGGGTGGGATTGTTGCCAGTGTTTTCCATAGAGATCAACGAGCTGAGAAAAAAAAAACCCAGCCATCTTTTAATCCATAAGGAAGAAACAGACTAACCATGAGGACTCCCCCACCCCTCTCCGTACCGCTTCCACATTTTGGTGTTTCTGTGGACCTTCAGTTCCATCCATTAGCCTGGCAGGAAAAGGGAGAGCAAGGCAGTCGTTGGTCACTGAAGTATTAGTAGAATTTAGTACAGGCAGAAGGGGAAAAGGCTTACAGGCTGTGCTCAGTAGATGCATGAATAAATAACAGTTGTCTGAATTAGGTGCTTAGTTAAGAAGATGATGGCTCCAGGCCCCGTATCCCTTATACTTTCTCTGACTGGGGCCTGTTAAAGGGGATGAACCCTGCTCTGGGTCATAAGCTTGTGAGCTGCTGTACATATTTATTTATATATGATGGACCAACAAAGACTTTCTATATCAACTCTACACCCTATCTCAATATCAACTATCATAAAACTAGTCCTTATTAATCATTCCTTCTCTAAATGTCCTTATTGATTGCCCAGAGAGGAGCAGTTTCCTTAAGACCGTTACTATATGGAGATGCTTGAGCACTCATTTAAACCCCCAGGCCACAAAATTTTAGATTTTTCCAAAATATTTCTTACATTCTTGCAATTAGTTTTGAATTTCTCAACATTTGGCCATAGATAGATCATTCTTTAATGCTCAAAAAATTATAGATTTAGGACTGGAGAGAGCTCAGTATGTTTAGTCACTAGTTGCCCTTCTAGAGGCCTGGGGTCAGATTCTTGTGTAAAGACTTGCAACTGTCTATTATTAACTCGAGTCCCAAGGGGTTCTGTTGTCCCTTCCTGGTCTTCTCAGGTACTGCATGCAGGTGGAGCACAGCCTTGCACAGGCAAACACCCATATCTAAAAGTTAAGGTTAATTTATGAGTAAATTATTCTCTTCCAACGAATTTTCAGTGTTTCACTTCAAATTCAAGACAGGATGTTATCCTAGAAATTAGTTTATAACTTGCATTGCTTTTGTTGTGTCCCCTGCCTATGCCCTTCCTACCCTGACCCTTGATTGTCGTGGTAGTCAAGAATTCCTTTGTTACCCAGGCTGGCCTCAAATTCTGGCTCTTCTTACATCTGTCTTCCCACTGCTGGGACAACAGTGTGTGTGACAGGATGATGTGTGCCACTAGGCCACAGTCACCTTTTCACACTCTATAAAGTCTGTCTTAGCGATGAGTGAACTTCAGCTGCCTGTGAAGACATGGGACAAGAAGCCACCTCAGGAACGGCTTCCTTTAGACAAGGATGTGAGAAGAATGGTTGCCAGAGGCTTGGACCTCAACACAAGTGGGAAGATGACTTCCTATTCATCCTGAACAATAAGTATAATGCTGTTTAACGTATCACATGCTGAAGCTCAAGTAAATGGTTTTAGTTTAATAACGTAACTTGGAGAAAAAGACCTGGTTAGATTCCTAGTGATTCCTCACCCCGTGAAGATTTTATTAGAGTGGCCAGTGAAGTAAGGGAACAATATGGAGTAACAGAAAGTTATTGTAGAAACGGGGTACATATTGTATTTATTGGCACGAGAGCCTTACCTGACAGCAAGTAGATCAGCATCCTGAAGACTCTTGTTATTAAATTAGGTTGTCAAAGAAACCCTCAGACCAAAAGGCTCCATTGAGTGTTTCTGTCCTCAGATAATTCATTCCTTTAAATAGATAGGGTTTTATATTTAAATACAATCTATAATACTAATTGCTTGACAGAGATAGTCTTTCTTTTATTTTCTTTTCCATTTGAGATTTTGTTGGGATCTGACAAAATATCTATTTTCAAAGTGTATAATGATGTTTGATGTATACATGTTTACATATTTTAAATATATGTATACATATGTACATAAATATATAACCATATATACATATACATGCATACACATAGTGTAAAAATATTGCCATTATTAAATGAGCTGACATATTCATTTCACCGTTAATGACTTTTAGCAGGTGACTATCCTTAAAGTATATTCTCTCCATAAACTCCTAGTAGATAATACATTAATATCTGGTCATCTAGTTGCAGTTTTTGTCTCCAGAACTTTTTTTCTTCTAACTGCGTATTTATACACTATGAACACTATGCCAGCCCCCATCCTGTGGTCACTGTCATTCTATTCTCTGCAAAATAAGTCCAAAATAACAGGGCTCTACCCTTCCAAGCAGGAGGTGACTTTGATAGTCCAAAGATGTAAAGCCCACTTTTCATATTATTGGAGGAAATCATTGCTACAACACTTGTGTCCAGAGAGGAAAATCATGCACACGTCTCTACCTTGGCTCTCCTGTTTCCACTAGAATGGTGCAGCAGAGGCAACCTTGTAAATAGGAATATTTTAGTTATTCTGTCTCAAGCTTTGCATAGGACCACCATTGGGGGAACTGGTCACTTGTTTTGCTCGATGTTCAGGAGTAGGAAAAGTCTTGTTCTGATGCAGTGAAGGGTAAGGATCTTGAGTTTTTTTTTCTTTTTTCTGATCTTACAAGAAAGTGGCTGTGTTGTGTTTGTGGGAAGAAAACTTAGAGTTGGATCTTAACTAGTAGGGTAAGATGTGCTGAGATTTGCTGTGTATCCACCAAGCTAGGATTTCTCAGCTTCTTTTAAACCACTGGATGCATGAGACTGCACATCAAAGAAGATGAGTAGAAGCCAAAAGGTGACAGCCTGAGGCAGAGACTGGAAGAAATTTCCCCAGGGCCATCCGCAGCACGTGTTGCCAACACACTGATTTTAACTTGGTAAAATTACTTTTGAACTTTTGATCTTCATACCATGAGGAAAGAGGTTTTTTTATTTTTATTTTTTATAAACTGTGTATTTTGTGGTAATTTGTTGCAAGAGTCAAAAGAAAGTACTAAAACCACTGTTCAACGTCCACCTTTCTTTTCTGCAATAGTCAAAAATCCATAATTTCTTGGTATGTTCTTTCATCTTTCTGCAAATACTTTGTAACTATTTAATAATTGGCAAACCTTGTCTTTAAAGTGAGAACACTATTTGTACAATTACCGTCAGGCCTTAATCTTTGTGAGGAGCATGGAATGGCTCCTGACACAAGCGCAATACAAAATTGTTTAGAAAAGTTGATAACATTTTGAAGCCAAGAAAATGGCGGTGGGCGGGGAGTGAGTGGTCACATGGTTTTTAGAAGAAAGGATTTAAGAACAAAAGATAACAATGTATTTGTGTTGTATCCTAGAACTGTTTTGAAGAAAGGTACTATTACTGCATCCTTAAATTTCTGTAGTTATACCTATAAAGTACATATTATATCATTTGAACCGAAAAATCATTTTATCAATATTATTTTGTTATACATCTTAAGAAATCCAACACAAACAAACAAATATGGAGAGATTGATAGTTTTAATAAAACATGGGAAACTATTTGTTGAGAAAAGAAAGAACGTTTGATTTCTTTGATTTGTTCATCGACATCTGTAAAACAATAGAATAACATGTCAGCTTTGTATAATAAACTGTCTAATTTCTTACATATAAAGCAAAGTTGTTTTTCTTTACTCGTGAGTTTGTTATGAAGGACTATATAGAATATTCATCTAAAATTACTCATCACAATACACACTTAAAATAATGTTTCCTCCTCTGTCTGCATACGGATGCAGCATTCTTACAAATAAATATTCTTATAGAAATTAATAAGCACCTGTGTAACAGTTTAATTAAAATGCAACATTGTAGTTTATTTGAATGCGTATGTAGATATCACAAAATATGTGTTTGAGAAGCTATTGATTTAGATCAAAACTGTCTCTTGATATGGAAACATATGAATAAGGGAGAATTCTTTTTCCATCAGTCTGTCCAGCAAAGTAGCATTTATTCCTTTAGCTATTTCACATTGAGTATCTTACATGTAAGAAACTTGTTATGCATGGCTATGTACATGTGAAATTATTAAATGAATCTAGTATCTTGATATTATTATTCACTAATAGGCCTCTCATCTTAAATACTAGTAAAACAAGATGTCACATAATTTAGCTGGGGTTAAGAGTTTAAGGAAAAAGTGAAAATATCTAATGTCCTTGAGAATAGCTATTTGTTAAGGTGCTTCATCAACAGTGCTAACTTACATCACATTTATTCTCAATATAACTTTAGGCATGGATGGCACCTCAGTAGAATTTTATTTGGCTGACAGTCAAAATAATGTCTCCCCATTTCCTTGTCCAAAGAACATTTATAATCATAACCTGGTAATGATTTTGGGGTAAGACAGGGGCATCAGGACTTGGAAATAGTTTATTTGTTTTACTTATTTTACTTATTTCTGGTTAGATAGGAAGTAAGGAGATAACTGAGCACTTTGGCCCGGGCCTTTATTCTTAGGACAGTATGTGGGGAAACTGACGAGCAGGAAGTGGGTGAGGTTGGAGAATGGCCTGCAGGTCTTAATGGAGAACAGTTCTCAATTCAGTCTCCTTCCCCTTTAGAGGAGCTTGTTCCTAGAGGGATGAGTATCATTGCAGGGTAGTCAGGTCATATTCAGTCTGGATCAGTTTAAAGAAGAATTTTCTATTCTAATAACAGCCTGAAAATATTACACAGGAAATAAATTCATCATGTCTTAACTTCTGAGGCACTGATAACTAGCAACTGCACCCTGCTTTCTCATTTCATATATGTGTATATCCATCCATCCATCCATGTATATACATATACATATACATATATATATATATATATATATATATATATATATGTATATTAATTCAAAGGTAGTTTCAGCTGAGGATGTGTAGTATAGTTACTCCATAACTTCCACATCTCATTACTATGCATGACTTACAGAAACAAATGAGTATCACTCTCTTCTCCAGAGAATCTCACTTCTCTACCTAAAAAGAAAAAGGGTATTTTCAGTTATGATTAAATATATTTCATTTGGTAGTGCTGGAACTTTGTTTTCTATATAATATAGTTATTCTGAGATGCTTTATAAAAGTTCCAGAGAAATTTGCTTGCAGACAAGATGGTTAACATAAAGAGTGTTGTGTTTCTTGTCTGAAATAAAGTATATATTTAAAATTATAAGGAGGGGCTGGGTGTGGTGCATACCTTTAGTCCCAGCACCCAGGAGGCAAAGGCAGGTGGATCTCTGTGAGTTCTATGCTAGCACTGGTTACATAATGAGATCTTGTCTGAAAACAAAAATAATTATGAGGAAGAAAAGGTTTTTCCCCCTATGATTGTAACTTCTTATTGTGAAGAATAGTTGTTATTAAGATACAGGACACAGAAAAAATGGACTAGTAAGTATTTTAGCATGTTGCTCGCACAGAGTTCTAAGGATTACACATTATAGACTAAATGTTGTGTGTTTATGCAAATATATGTCTCTCTGTGTATGTGTGTGTTATATGTGCGTAGTATAAGAAGGAAAACCCTTAATTTTTCCTCTAATATGACAAATAAGGTAAATTTATCTAGCTAATCACTTTTGAACTGTTTTATAAGCATAGAAATGTTTTCTCCATTATATATATATACATATATATGTAACACACCACACACACACACACACACACACACACACACACTTGGGGTATGTGAAAGCCAGATGAAGGTAATAGATCCCCTGGAATTAAAGTTACAAATGGATGTGAGCCTCTATATGGGTACTGGGAATTGAACCCGTGTCCTCTGCGAGAATAAATGCTCTTAATTACTGATCCATCTATGTGGCCCCACTTATCATTTTTACCTAACAAGAAGTTTATCAAAGATATGAGATATGAGAAGATGTGAGAATAAACAAGAGGAATCTAGGCTCTAATGAATACATTCAAGTATTCAAATCCTGAAAGTTCTTTTTATAGGTATATAGTAATGCCCAATACATTTTTAATATCTGTAGTTTATCTGTTGACTAACTGTCCACTAAAAGACTAGACTCTAATCCTGAAGTGCGTGTGCTTCTTGTACAGAAGTTGTGTGCCTTCCTGTCTATAAACCCCACACATTGCGGTGGTTAGAGTAGGTAACTTACCTGGTTAAAAAAAGGCTGTGGTTCTTGGCTAGCAGCTTTGGTCTCAAAAGGCTCAGCTCCCTCCCGTTTTGCTTCAGTAGGCTCAGCTGTAATAAGTTTTCCCACAACAGACTGGCTCGCCATCAGTTCAGCTGGAGGAGGTTGGCCTGCAGCAGAATTTGCTCCAGGAAGCTTGGCTTCAGCAGCTAGGCCTGCAGCAGGCAAGGCCGGCAGAGACTGTGCTACAGCAGGCTCACCTGAAGTAGGTTTGTTTTCAGAAGACAGGCCTACAGGGGATTCAGCTACTATAGGTTGTGCTCCCACAGATAGAGGTAGAGCGGATTCAGGTGCCATGGGGCGGGCTGCAGCAGGCACAGTCACCTCTGACTGGGGGGAAGCAGGTTCAGGTGCACCAAACTGGACTGGGGCAGGCTCAGGTGCACCAAACTGGGCTGGAGCAGGCTCGGGTGCAAGAGGCTTGGGTTCAGGGGGTGGCATGGATGTTCTAAATTTGACTGCTGGAGGCAGACCTGAAATAGGTTTGTCTACAGGGAACTCAGGTCCCAGGCCTTCGCCTTTAGCAGGTACAGCAGAAGCTGCTGCAGGCTCAGGTCCAACAGGTGAGGGGACAGAAATCTTTGGAGGTATCACAAAGGGATATGGCCTGGGAGGAAAAGGTCGGGGAGGAGGAAGAGGAACTATCGCAGGGCCGTTCATTGGTGCATCAGCGGGGTAGTTAAGACTTTGGTATATATAGCGAAGTTTAGAAGAAGTGGGAATCCAAGGATATAGAGACAGCCCTCTTTCAAACTCAGAACTTCCAGGAAATTTGGTGATGACATTTCCTTGTTGAGTGTTAAGAGGAGGCAAAAGAAAAGGTGGCAAATTATCATTCCATAGGCCATATGGGATATTCGGAGATGGATTAAGTGGGTAGCGATTTCCAAAGTAATCCTAAATAGAAGGAAAGGAGTTAACTGTAGTTGACTGTTTATACATATAGCTATATTTATTTCTGCTACTGTGGTCATATATGAATAACGTTTTTAAAGGAACACCTGTTTAGTCTTTTTAACAACTAATATGCATCCACAATTATTGAAATGAAAATAGTTTGAGAAAAATCTAACAAATCCAAACTGAAGGAGAATCACTTTTTGTAGAGATGGATGAGTGTCACATATTGCAGAATACACTGCCTAGGTTAGGATGGGTGTAGCTGAGATACGCGTTGAATGCAGTTTAAAAGACTGACATAGGATGCAGGGCTGACTCTTCCAGGCTGCTCCACCAGGGTCTTTATCTGTGCTTGCTGCACCCAACAACCCCCTTCTTGGCAAACTGTCCTACTTAAAGCCTCCAGTTCCATATTCTTCTTCCAGGTGTAGTGCTTTTTGTGACCCGTGTCCCAGATTTGTCCTGTTTCCTCAAACTTTCATTTCCTTCAAGGTATTGTTATCAGAAGGGCAGGAAGAAAATATGGGAAATGGACTTGGCTTTTTATATATAAATTTCCCAGTGATATTTCTGTTTTAAACGGGTATTTTAATAACACTGGTCATACATTTAACCATCAAATTTCAAATTCCTTCTTGTGGTAAGACCTCTATCTATTCCTCTGGTTGTTCTACTAAATTTATCTACCCCATCCTGGAAGACTGCCAGGAACCTCAAATCACATACTTATGTAAAAATTCACAGAAACAGGAAATGTTTCTTACTCATGCACACTTAATATTTTATATCCTATCATAAATGCCCCCCTCGGCTTACAAATCAGGAGTTTAGAATTTGCTCATTTACATGTACAGCTTGACTATCATACAAAGAATTATACTCAATGTTTCTTTTGCCCGTAGTTGTTTTATTTAGATGCATGCCAAGGTATTGTCCTAGTAATAGACTCCCTGTAGACACAGATTCACTTTTCAGTTTTTTTTGTAAAGTGCTGCCTTCCTTGTTTATTATAGTTTTTATGATGTCAAGTTTTATAAGATTATGTTTCATTTTAACCCACTCAACCTACTGAGCATGCACCATGATGGGCTGGATGCCAGTGTGGATGAAAGGTTCTGTGACACACAAGATATGCATCCACAAGTGGGCCCACTGAATGGAGAGAAGTGAACATGTCCTTAAATGAATCCCCTAGTTCCTCCAAAAAAAAAAAAAAACCAACCAAACCAAAAAAAAAAAAAAAAAAAAACAACCAAAAAACCCACACACAATACAACTGAACTATTTAACATTATTTGGTAGAAAATGATATCTTAAAAAAATAGTACACACTACATATTAATATATTTAATTAAAAAAACCCCAAAAGATGTAAATTCACTTTACCTCTTCAGTGGACAAGGGCGATTTCTGAAAGCAAAAGATTTATTGTAAAGTTCATGCCATCGAAAGCATACTACTACAAATCTCTGCTTACAATTGAAGGAGCTGTGAGTTAGTAACAGTTTTTGGAATTTTCTCTTTTAAGAACCATCGACAGTTGCCCTGTCTTCAGTTTTTCTATAACTATTTACCATTGTATTATTATCATTTTTTTCTTCTGAGAGAGTATCTCCTTATGCATCCTTGGGCCAGGTCCTTGATATGTAGACATACCATGTAGCCTGTAAACTGATCTCAAGGCTATGGCCCTCGTCTGAGCTTGGCTTCAGGTTCTAGCATAGGCAAGAACCATGGTGCCTGACCTTTAGTACACATCCTTTGTATGCCATGTGATGCCTGACAGTGAGGAGAAGAACCTGAGGCTCAGTGAGACAATGGCTCTGGGGGAAGCCGGGGGGCAGGGGGAGATCACTACTACTCTCCTGCTAAGTGAACACAGAGTAAAAAGACTTGTAATGACATATTACTAATGGGTAATGTAATAAGTACCCGTTGATCAGGGTATTGCTCAACTATCACCAGAGAACCTTTTGCAGTAGATGGTAGTTAACACAGAGACCCACAACTGCTCAATGTGCAGACAAAGAGAGACTTTGGAGTGCTTAGCCTTTAATGAGATGTTTTTATCAAACCCCTGGCCTCAAGGATCAGGGATGTATTGAGAAGAGGAGGCAGAAAGAATATAAGAGCCAGAAGTGGTGGAGGACTCCAAGCAAACAGTGTCTTCCAGACACAAGACTGATCCACATACTGACCCACAGAATCTGGCAGCATGCACCAGACCTGCAAAGAAGAGGAAGTGAACACAAAGTCTCACCCCTAACCAAGAAGATATTTGCAATTTATACCTGCTGGGAGTGGGAAATACTGTTTTTCTCCAATGGCATGATACACTCCAGGGCAGGCCTCATGTTCAGGAGTACTTTATCAACACAAAACAGACTCTCTGTTTTTTTGGGTGTGCTTTTCTTCTGTTATTGTTTAGTGTTTTTTGTCTTCCTGTTTTTTTCTTGTTTTGTTTTTCTGGTTCTTTGGTTTCTTGAGTTTTTTTGAGAGAGATAGAATATGAAGTTGGGTGTGTATGGAGATGGGGAGAATCTGTCAGGTCTTGGGGTATGGAGGGAGGAGCATGATCAAAATTCATTGTATGGAAAAATTTTAAAGAAACAGAATGTTATATAAATGAATAAAATTTAAAGACTGACATAATGTACAGGGTTGAGCTGATGGCTCAGACAGCAAAGTGTCTGCTTGCAAGCACGATGACCTACATTTTATCACCAGCACCCATATAAAAGCCAGACAGAATAGAGGGAAGAGTGGCAGATACGATTAAAATCCTTGTACGAGATGCAAAGAACTAATACAAAGTAAAGGATACTATGTATATAGAATTATCTAAAAGAAAAAAAATCCAAACACAGAGGTATGCACCTAAAATCTCAGTTAGAGGTGCGGGGAAGGGTAGGACATGCAGAGCAGAGGATAGCTACAGGTCAGTGGCTGTAAACGGAGTTCACAAGAGAAGAGAGATACTGACTTGAAATATAAGGGGAAGAGCAACTGAGTAAGATGCCAGCTTAAACCTCTGTCCTCCACAGCAATGAGCAAGCACACCACCATACACATGCACAGCCCCCTAGGAACCCTGTGTACACAGAACACCATGGATGTTCAAGGATTACTGTCTACACAGTTCCAGTGTTTTTATACGACGACTTAAATTTTTCTGTTCAGAATCTATTTAGAAACTTTCAAGTACCAGTGCCAAAACTTTTGATTCACTTTCTATAGCTACTTTCTTGTTTACAACAGATACACATTATATCACCCTCTGTGCTTCCTATAAAATCTTAGGTATGAAATGAGGCCTTTAGCATAGCTTCTCATTAAATTTACATTTTCCCAGTGACTTTGAAGTATTTTAAGCTTTTTCTTGAATAGTATTATATTCAACACACACAGACACACACAGAAACACACACACAGAAATACACACATACACACACACATACACACACACATACACACACACACACACACACACACACACACAGCAGATAGTGCTTGCTTTCTGGTATGCTGGCTGTAGGCATTAGGATCCTAGCTAGTAAAAAGTGCAACCAGACCAGATTTCTTTTTCAAATGCCTGGAACACTATACCTGCAGCCAGCTACACTTTCCATTTAAAATTTAATATAACTTTCCCATTTTAGATTGATTTTCTAGAATTATTAATCTTAAAGTCTTCCAATGAAGCTTTTTCATATTCCCTAAGGTATGAGAAAAGTACAATAAATAACATTCCAGGGTAGGCCTGGGGGCAAGTGTCAGTTACTTTTACTATTGAAGAAGCCCCAGAATCTGATGACTGTTAATGTAAATTTCAAATACGTTAATATTTTTTCAATTTTGAAAAGTTTCAAAGGTTTTCAGGTGCTTTGCTGGAAGTTTTGCTATTTTTGTTCAAAAGCATTTACATCTCAGATGCTTTTTAAAAATTAATTAATTAATTAATTAATTAATTTTACTATGCTTTCCTATCAACCCATAACACACTTGTGGCCAAGGATACTTGTAACTTTCTTAGCACACATTTGCCATCAGAATTTGAGAAAAACATTTTAAAGAACTGAAGAAAATCAAATATTGGTAACTGCATTTGTCTGCTACTTGAAATAATTCATGGCTATTTGCTGCACAGAAGTAACCAAGCTTCTTGGGATATGCACTCATACTATTTGTAGTTTCTAGTATCTAGATGGAATTCAGTCAGGCATGATGGTAGATGCTTATAAACCTAACCTTTGGAAGGTGGAGGCAGGAGGATGGGAAGTTAAGTTCATGCTTAGAAACACAGAAAGTTAAGATCATGCTTAGAAACCCTGGGCATGAGACTCTTTCACTACGTCCTTAAAAGAAAATAAAACCAATAACTCATATGAAAACAAAATATATAATTGAATACATAGTTGTTTACCATCTTGTTTTCTTCTGTTCTAATCTCTCATGCCATCATTTTCTCATTGGTCATATTACTTAGTACAAATTAAGAAATATCTTAGAGGCATGAAGGTAAATCTGGACATAACAAACTTTGATTCCACCATAAAAGGAGTTCATTCCATGCTCTTGGTCATCAGAAATGAAGAAATGAAGGCTTACTGGCAAATATGTTTAGCATAAGTATATTTATATTCTATGATCTTTTCACCTTATCTGAAGAAATTAATAAAAACTATTTAAAGGGCAATTAAGGGCAATTTTATTGCCTAGAAAATAAAGAATCTTTAAATGCAAATATACTTTAATGGTAAAATGATAATTTTTAAAGAAATTGAATTCTTTTACCTTATGGATGAATGGATAACATCTCTAAAAAAAGAAAAATATTTTAATGTGGTTATCTGTATTCAGACTTTCCTTTTACTGAAGAATTTGCATCGTCCCATCATAATTTTTTTCTTGACTATGAGTCCTTGGTCTGAAGTGAGTAGTCTTGCCATCATAATCAGTATGATGTTTCAACAGAGACTTTTATTTTGGTTAAATAGAATCTAGTTTGCAACATTGTGCATACAGGTAAATCTTTGTCATGTGAGAGGTCATTTGACTCTTTTTTTTTTTTTTTTTTTTGGTTTGGTTTTTCGAGACAGGGTTTCTCTGTGTAGCCCTGGCTGTTCTGGAACTCACTCTGTAGACCAGGCTGGCCTTGAACTCTCGAACTCAGAAATCCATCTGCCTCTGCCTCCCAAGTGCTGGGATTAAAGGCATGCGCCACCACCACCCGGCTTGACTCTTATTCATATGTGTTGTTTTTACCACTCTAGTGTTGCCGTGTGTGTGTGTGTGTGTGTGTGTGTGTGTGTGTGTGTGGTCTAGTGTCCTTTTATAGAACTATACACTATTTTCTAATGAAACTTTGTTATGTCTTCCAAATTTACCATAGAAACTTTATTATGACTTCTGAATTCACCATAGATGAGGTACCATACAGAATAAAAGCTAGTGTAGGAAACTCAGGATATACTATTTTAAGAATTACAAATTAATTTAAGAGACATAATAATATTTTGAAATTTAGCCAAGATGCCAATAATAATTAGAATTATCCAGTAGTTTTAATTTCTCCCTGATCTTAGACATTTTTGTTAAGCACTTGTAGTAATTATCATATTTAGTATTAAAAGCAATTACTCAGTGTGGATGTTCCTGCTTTTCCAAACATAAGGTTTAACACACTCATTTGCTAGAATTAACACTGTTTTTAAGGCAAGTATTGGGAGCCCACACCTTTATTGCCAGCATTGAGGAGGCAGGGGCAGACAAAGCCCTGAGCTTGAGGACAGCTTGGTCTCCGTAAGGAGTACCAGGCAATCCAGGACTACAGAGTGGGATTCTGAATGAAACAAAAATGATCTAGAGCCTCATCAGTTGACCTTACACCAAATATCATCATGTCCATTCCTGTGGTCCCTTTGACCAACCTTTAGTTCTCTACACATCTCAGTAATGGGATTTCACTGTCAGAGAAATCCTGATAAAATTGTCTAGACAGGATTGTAGTTCTGTATAATTCTTTCTTCTTCCAGCTTCCCAAGTCTGAACTCACCTCCTTTCTGTGCCGCTGATTGGTTCCAGGTTTTAGATCCACATGATGTGGCTTTTGAAGATTTCCTTTCACGATTTTGACACTGCCACGTTTATGCCCACAACCTGACTGACTTGTATAAGCACTATACTTGCTTCATTTTCAGTTTGACTCCTCACCAACACTTACTTATATTTATACCCATTGCTACCGGTCTTGAGAGTTCAGTTACTTACCCTCTTTGCAAAAGCGACACACATGATGCAGGCCCAGAGAAGTAACCTCATCTTGAAGGATCCTATGAACACGAAGAGTAGAGTTTATTTTTTCAGAATGTATACGGAATGTTTTAAGTTATTTCTCTCTGAGAGAAACAGATTTTAAATGGATTTACTAGGCTGAGGATGAAAACACTGAACAGAAAAGTTGTACTGTTATTTAACTGCTGTCAGGACGGCTTGGCAGGGAAGACACTAAAGCCCATTCACTTCATTTTCTCTTTTCAGTAATTAACTTTTGACTAAATTTTCTTACGTGGAAGTCAACTCACTTTTTTACTCAAGGCCATCTTTTGCAATTTGTCTTGGAGGACATACCAGGAAACACGATTGTCTTAAGTAGTCACACTGTGGGGTACCTTATTGAAAGCTTGCATCCATAGGCACAATGGGAGACTGATACCATCTAACTGGAAAATTTTCTCACTTTCAATTTTTGTTTTTGCCAATGCACTCTTTGGCAAAGTAGAGCTTTAATTGGCTCAAATTTTCTGTCACCTAAGAATGAATAACGAAGTACTCAGTTTAAGTGTATGTCTAGGTTAGGATTTTTGAGGAACAACACCACATCTCTAATTGCTTTATTGTTGAAGTTTATAGGTTTTTCTTTCTTCAAAAACATAAAACATTTCCGTTTTTATAAAAATATGTCTATACCATGGCAATATTACAGTATACTTCTGAGTTTCCAAATGTGAAAGATAGATGTATTCAACCTGATGTGTTTCACTAAGAGGAGTAATATTAAATCCTTGATTCATTTGAGATGAATGTTTAAATAATCAATATATCTAAGGTATGTTACTGTTTACAGTTATATATTAACTGTTTTTATAATTGTTTCCATATTTTTTCTTTATTTGCTATAACTTATAGTTTTGGGGTGTAGGTATTCATTTTAGGTTATGTACAGTCTAATAATATGAGAAAATTTCAAATATGTTGAATGGATCAGACCATGGATGGTTCCTGCTGAGTCTTTAAGAAGGTGAAGGTTGTAAAACTGTGTTTTCAGAAAAAGGCCTGGAGGAAGAACACAATGTCTATGTCTCATTCTTTCCAGTCCTTGCTCAGCTGCTTAAATGTGTGAGCCACATGATGTTTGGCTTCTGCTGTGATCCTTGAGTGGCGCACTACTGAGACATGAAAAAAATAACAATGGATACTGTTAAACATTGTAATGTATGCTAGACATTTATGTTTTTTTCTGTTTACACATGAGTAGCGTTAGAGAATTCTGGGAAAAAAATCCTTAGGTGTTTCTTGAGTTATTGGTTTAACTATTTTAATATTTTAGAAACTCTATAATTTTTGTTTTGCATTGACTTTGTTCTTCACTGAAAATTTTGGAATATACTGCTCCCACATTTAGAAATTTGAAGGGTGGGTGGGACTTCAATTTGAGATGATTCCTACATTACTGATATTGTCTTATTTTCTTCCACTCTATTTTCACTCCTTCTCAGAACAATCATGTCTTCTTTTGTTAGTCACTAAAATCCTTTTAGAAGTGATCAGATTGTAAGCAAACAGAAAGAGAGATATTAGGTAGTTAAGAGACCCTCCTAAGATTATAAAATTATGTCAAAATTTCCTTGAGTGTACCCTAACAGATCTATATTTCATCTTGTAATGCAGTGTAATTAGTATGTAATTAGTATGGCTTAGTGGTTGGCTATATAAATTTAGCTTACATGGTGATCACTCTACAATCACTGCCTTTTTCCCTAACTGAAGTTCTGAAATAAGATTTATTAGCAATTACCAGATTTCACAAGCCTATCTTATCGCTGCTGGTTGTTTCGCAAGTCTATCAGTCTGATTCTTTACAATGGCCCTAAGCTAAGAAGTATAGCTAACGCATTGTCTCTATAAGAGAAAATTTAATGATGTGCAAATGAATTAACAATTCTAGTTAAGACCTAGTCATCATGTGTTCTTCATAAAAGATATACAGAAATAATTTTTTCCTATCAGAACAGTTAGTAGATAATTACTTTTCGTTAGTCATTGAGTGGCAATTGACCACTACTATCAGCCCTGGAGATTTATATGAGAAATGTAATTATGCATATAAGATAAATCTTAGAAAAAAGTTCTGTGTGTGTGTGTGTGTGTGTGTGTGTGTGTGTTATGTGAGGCCTTGATGTTCACGTCTCCATAGCATTTCTTATCAATAAAATAGTTGAACATCTATATCTAAACTTAGTTTTTTATTTAAATATGGAATACTAAAAATGTGTATTACCAGCCCATTGCCATGAGATTCAACAGTACAGAAAAATGCATAAGCATACAAATCAAGTTCTTTTGTGAGATATGATTTTGTCTTCCACAAACACTGAGTTTGAGAAGACTGGTGGACCAGAAGATTTTGTAACTTTTGGAAATGTCAATAGGTTTAATTTACAAGGTAAATATTCTAAAAATGTATTATTAAACATGTTTCTATGGTTGTGAAACCCATGGCTTGGTTTTCTTTTTTTCTTTCTTTCTTTCTTTTCTTTTTTTTTTTTTTGGTTTTTCGAGACAGGGTTTCTCTGTATAGTCCTGGCTGTCCTGGAACTCACTCTGTCGACCAGGCTGGCTTCGAACTCAGAAATCCACCTGCCTCTGCCTCCTAAGTGCTGGGATTAAAGGCATGCACCACCACTGCCCAGCCTGGCTTGGTTTTCTTAATGTGCTTTGTGATTTAATATTTTCTAAATCTCCAGTGATGCCATCAAATGAAGCAAAAACAAGTGATGAAGAACAGTCATGTCAATCTAACTATATAACTGACATCATCTTGATTCCAGACTTTTTGAAAAGCCTCAAAGCTTACTTTCAGTGGCAAAAGGAGCCATAACTGGCTGCGTTTTTACAGTTTGTGCTGTTATAACAAAATATTGGTTCCAAAAATATATGAAATAAATTCAATTCCAGATAATGTCCTGAGTAGTGGAGACTTGCAAGAATTGGTTATTTCTTAATTTTGTATTACTGTTATATGTTTTCCTGAAAGCAGCAAATGTAGGAAGATATTTAGAAGATAACTGTGACATGATTGAGAGATATTTGGAGAGAGAGCAGCACATGTGACATGGATTTAGAGATTGGAAACTTAACTTTTAATCAGCAACCATCATTTAAATCTAAATGATTGAGTCAATCAAATTATATAGAAAACATGTAAAGTTAGAAAATATGTAGCTGAGATGATAGCCCTAGAAAACACCAATCATTGTGTGGAGAAAGGGAATCCACAAAAAAAAATCCCAGAGAAATCGTCATAAGAAAGCGTAAGAGTTATTTAGAAAGTATGTCATGACAAGGACCAAGTGTTTAGGTGCTCCTGCAAGAAACTTTTTTTTCTGATATAAATGTATCATCATTGAGCTATAATATCAGCAGTCATATTACTAACAAAATAGTAATTTTAATAACAGTGTAAGTTCAGAGAATATAGGAGATACCTTAAAATGTAATTCCTGACTAACTTTTGATAATAAAATCATTATTAATCGGATAAAACATTCAAGAAAACAGAAAACTGAGGAAATAAAAAAGGAAAGATTTACTAGCTTTAAAGTAATAGAGGATTACATACTCCTAGAAACTTTATGGGGAGAGTTTAAGTTATTCTCAGTTTTAATTCAAGTTATCAGCATTGGCCTTTCTGCCTGGATGGGAAGTTCTCCTGGGACTCGGAAATCAAAGAACCACACAGCTCTGAGGTAGGACAGTGTCCCAGTGGAAAGGCATCCTGAGACATAGGAGCCCAGGAACCACATAACTCTGAGAGGAAATCTCAAGCAGAGGCACTGCAGCTCCCTGGGGAGGGTGTTCCCAGCTCAACTGAGGAGCTCAGGAGCCTCAGCCCTGCTCCTTCTCTTCTCTTGCTTCTTGTCTTCTTCCAATGAGAGAGTCACATCAGCCAGAACATCTCATGAAAGGGAGAGGAGAGACGAATCCAGGAGGGGCTGCCTACGCTCCTGGGAAAGAGCAGACAGCCAGACCGCAGCAGGGAATTGGACAAAGCACAGTACTTATATAGGGATTCTTGGTAGGAATAGAGCTTTCTAGGGTGGAGATTTGCAGGGTGAGGATTGGTCAGAGTTCAGGTCCTGAGCTTGGAGGAGTTCAGGGATTGGTGTGTTTTTCTGTTGCGGTAGGTTTTTGTGCTCAGGGATTGGTGGGTTTCTTTGAGAAGGTCACAGATTGGTGAGTTTTGTTGTTTACTGGCTTTTATTCAGACCTTTCACATAAAATTAGCATAAACTGAAGAGTGTCTTGTTGAGGGGCAGGAGATGAACTTGTTGACAGTTATGGCAGTTAGTGAGGTCTTGGGGAGGGGACTGGCTGCTGGAGTTCCTCAGGCAGGGTCCTGGCCATACAAAGTTTACAAAGGGAGTCTAAGCCCACAGGAAGGAAAGCCGTTCCTGCCACTTGAGTGGTATGAATATTTAACAATCAGCATATCACACCATGATAAAAATGGTTATCAATGTATCAAGAAATGGCTAGTGTTTGTAATCCATACATTCAATATTTCCAAATAAAAAGAGAAATATTCTCAAAATTTAGGTAATTCTAGGAGGATTGCTAACTTTAATTCTGACAAAACCACAATCTGATACGTCTGTAGTGACCGACCGTCAAAGTTTAGAAAAGAAACTTACTTTGAGACTCAGATGTTTAGAACAGAACGGAAGTCAACATTCATTTCAGAGTCTTAAGAGGCCAGATATTGTCCAGGGAGAGTTGCTTCAGCGTAGAAAGGCAGAAGAATTGTATTAAGTATGAGGATAATATTTTAAATTACGAAGGATAAAGTCTGGGAGAAGTGAGGCCACCAGAGAATACAACAGGCAGAATGTAGCATCATCAGATTGCTAAGGAATGGAAGGTTCTAAGAAGACAAATAAGAGTTCTCAGAGCTTATTACTGCACTGCCTTTTCAAAACACATGTTCAGGGCCACTCTTTCCAGAAAAACTGTTGAATCTTTGTTCTGTACAGGAAAGGAGCTTGGGCAAAGGGGGACTTGATAGACTGAACTATGGTAGGAGGAGTAAAATCCAGGAATCATTTATGGTGCCAATGATATAGAATTCAATTCTTGCCTTTGCATCAAAAACATGCCGCAGTGTTCCCTACAAACCCATCTAATGCTGTCCCTATAACTAAATATTTAAAACGGTTTTCCAAACTGAAATAAACACTGGCCTTCTTCCTTGCTCAGTTGTCTTCTTCTTATTCCTTCCCCTTCCCTATGTCTTTTCTGGAAGTACTTACCCATTCAGGTGCCCTCACATAGACACCGGGGGTAACTGCTTATGCTCTGTTGTCACTTGAGAACACTACAAATTGGGGGGGGGGTGTTATGCTCTAGCTGAAACAACCTGGGGAACACCAGCTTGTCCTGACTCTATTTCATGATTATGTAGACAATTCTTAGCCCTCTATACCCTCAACAATCATAACTGCTTTGGCAACACACTTGAGATTTTAATGACCCTGGCCCTAATCCAGATGTATTAATTAAAACAAGTTTAAGAAGGTATAAGTAAAAAATAAGTATCATATGTCAGAAGTAATGATTTCGATCTGCCAAAAAGAAATGTTGCAATGTCTACCCTCATTCAACATTTATGTAATATTTGTTTTGTTCTTTAAAAATTGTGGATGTACACAGCCAACCATCGGACTGAGCACGGGGACCCCAATGGAGGAGTTAGGGGAAAGACTGAAGGAGCTGAAGAGGTATACAACCCCATAAGAAGAACAACATCAACAAATTAGATCCCCCCCCACAGAGCTCCGAAGGACTAAATCACCAACCAAAGAGGGACCCAAGGCTCCAGCTACATTTGTAGCAGTGGATTGCCTTATCAGGCATCAGTGGAAGGGGAGCCCTTTGGTCCTGTGGAGGCTCGATGACCCAGGGAGGCTGGAGTGGGTGGGTGGGTGGGAGAGCACCCTCACTGAAGCATAAAAAAAGAAAAAATATATCCCTTAGCTTTTGGTACCAAGAGACTTTGAAGTATTAGTCCACTCTTCACCACTAGCCAAAGATAAAGGACTTATAAACTCTTAACTGACTTAATCATCAAAATGGTCTGTATCTTTCTTACATAGATTATCTCACTAGCAGGATGATGTTCTCAGTGATTTCTCTCCTGTGACTGGAATTGGAGGGAACATGAAGGACTTTGATGAGGCTTTGGTATTAATCCTGTGGCCAACTGTAAGCAAAAATAGGCAGTGATGGGGTAAAACAATGTTTTAATAGAATATTTAATAGACCTGTGGGTCTTTGGAGTTATGATTTAATTGTTGAAGGACTTTATATTACTGTCACTAACTTACTAGGTGAATATAAGCAACACAAAAATTATAACTACACACAAAATGCACTTGAAGTTTTATTTTTTTTGAAAAGGATGTAGTTCAGTGACACCAGAACAGAGGTGAAAACATTCTTAACAGTCATCAACCCTGCAGAGATGAAATCACATGTAGTCCTAACGCGTTCAGCATAAATTTACAAGAATAGAAGACATTCTGGAACTGTTTTGCAGCATTCCTTTGGTTCAGCACTTCTGTAACATTTATACATCTGTCCCAATATATTGGTACTGAGAAGTAACTACGGTAGAAAGGAAAATGGAGACGTGGATTTCCCACTCAAACCTGATAAACAAAAGACAACAATGGATTTATATCCCAGAAGATAACGCCCATTCGTATATAGGATACAGACATACTCATCTATCCTAGTTTAGTATAATGTTAGCATTTATAACTAATAGTATTTTCCTACATCCAAGATGATGCTTAACAGTAAGATACTTAGAACTCATTTGTGTTTATGCTTGATGGAATGTACAGAGAGGCTTCGTGAAAAATCTAACTCAGCACACTGATGATCGAGTTAATATTCAGCTTCTTTAGTATTCTACGCAGAATACTATTCCTATGAATTTATTAAATGATGCAGATTTTCTGTTCGAGCAAAATTTACAATGATGTTTTAATTGTTTTATAGTTTCTTAGGCATATACAATAATACCTGTAGTATTTAATCAACTAACTTTTTAATTGAAGTTGAATATATATTACTAAAAATTAAGAAAACATTCATTACAAAAATTCTGTCTTAAAGTATCACCTAAGTTATAGGCATACATATCAAAATAAAATGGAAGCATTCAATTCAAGAATCTTAAAAGTATCTTTTTAAAAATATAAAGCAATAATATATTCAATTATAAAATTTATAAAATATAAATGAAGAAAACCCATTTACATTGCCATGGAAATGTTTATAGCATTCTAATTATTTGTCATCTCCTATACAAACATCAGGCACATATGAATAAAATATCTAATATGAATAAAATATCTTTATATGGTACATGTATGACATGAGATTACTATAAAATACTGAGAAATGATATCACTGGCCTAAGATCAACTTCTGACAGGAAATCCCGTATTGTTAAAACTAAATTGCCATTTTTCTGGTTTCAGCTTCCTATTTATTTTAGAGAATGTATTTCCTTTGTGGAGTTTTTTTTCTGAAGTTAATGGATCTAAAATGAAATCAGCAGCGTGTATGTCACTTGGTGGAAAAAGACTGATGTGCAAGACCCTCAGGGTGACCTCCAGGATCATAAAATAAAATTTGTTCTAATAATAATTTATAAATGTATCCACGTATACTGTATATAAAATATGTCCATGCATTCAAATGCACCTCACCTCCTGTACATAGATCCTACTGATAAAAGTGTGAACTATTTAAAATGTTCTGATAGTGATCTGTAGTGTTAAAATTTAATAAATGGGGCTGTGTGGGCCAACCATCTAAGCCGAGGCAGCTCTCTCTGCTTAGCTCTGCTGCCATGTTGCTCAGCCAGAGGCCACACTCATGACACCACTAGAAATGGCTGGCCAGAAACACCAGCCATGGCATCCACAAGATGCCAGCATGGGAGATGGCTCTGCCAATCTTCCATGCTGTCTCCACAAAGCTGGACTGTGTCCCGACCATCCCTCCATCCACAGGCACCTGGTAGGAAATGAGACTCTAAAGCTCAAATATTAATCAAAGGCTTTATATATTTGGTAATGTTCAATAACAATATGCCCACATAATTATAGATGTTTCCTAATTAACTAACCTAAATAAGTTGTTACCCAGGACTACTCCCAGTACATGCGTGGTCATTCACGGCACTACATCTCCGCCTCCCTCTTGCCTCGCTCCTCCTCTTTCTTTCCCTCTTCCTCCCTTACTCCTCCTACCTTAGCTCCTCCTCCATGTCATCATTCCTGTTAAAATAAAAAAAAAAACCCTTCTCTGAAAATACAATAAGAGCACAACTATATCAATTTGTATCAGTAAGGTACAAGATAGACCTAATATCTATCAATTTTGTCAACTAAACAGAACCTCCATCATCTCTCCTAAGTTAAAGACTTAGTTCTGAACCTGGCTTTTTTCATGGTTTTAGAATGAATGTCAGCTGAAAACCATCTTCTCAAATATGTTCTCTCAAAATAAATAGCCTGGGTTGGCTATGAGACTGTAAGTCTTCAACCCCATCAGAAATCCAGAATGACTGAATTAACTGAAATTATGGGAAACACAAAGCATATTAGCCAATTTATAGAGACCGCGCTGAACACGTTGACATTCCCTATACTTTAAAACGTTGGAACATCTGATCTTCAGCCTTCTGGCCCAGGATCATCTGACAGATCTAGTGATGCAGAATTATTAAGGACTGATTACTCTGTCTTGGCAGATAAAATCAGTCGACTATTCTACAAGTGTGTCCTTTTCTGGACAGTAATTTGTCTGTAGATGAAAAGAGGCAATTCTTGCCTAGTGACTGTCTCACCATAACTGGAGTAACTCCAAAGATGCTCAATTTCTTCTTAGAATCCAAGACATGAAAGCTGTCAGGAGCGGACAGGTCTCTAATCAAAATGAACATTAATTCAGAAATGTTTGTAACATCAATTCTGTGGACTTCTGATGTTTTGAAAACCAACTATCCACGTAAGGCAATCTGAACTGTTGGCTGTTAACTCCTCTCATCTGTTTCTAATTAAAATATAGAAAACATTCTAACAATAAACTCAGAGCCACGAATTTGCTAAAGGCCCTTAACTCACAGGCTAACCATCTAAGATCAGGTAAAAAAATTAAAGAAGGACTGGGTGTAAGCCTTGTACCCATCAATTTTGCCTTAATAGAAGAAAATTTACCAATGAAATCTTTGAATTTGAAATCAAAATAAATGTTGTACCATTTAAGGAATATAACTTTAGCTTAATAACAATTATACAGATTTCTATCAAATAGGTTATGGCTATGTAATCGATTCTAACTATTCCTCCCTGTTCCAATAAACCCATTACTTTTCCCTAGAAGGACAGCCTAATATTAACCACCTCAGTCTCCAAGCCCAGGGAATAGGGGTGCTGACTCTTCATTAACTTCTTCAAGCTGAATTTGGGTGTTCAGATATTAGAAGAGGGGCGGCGGGAAGGGTAAATAGATAAGCCTCTGATGTAGCTTATTGAAAATTAAAAATATTGTCTTATTAAGAAATATTTCTAGACAAATTTTATATAATATATAGTTACAAAGTTATATACATATACAAGCTTTTGTAATATATAATTTATAATATATAATTGATATATTGTGGTATATACACACACACACACACACACACACACACACACACATATATATATATATATATATATATATATATATATATATATATATAAAATTGCAAAAGTTTGTGTAAGAAAGGCAAGGGAAAAGACTGAATTAGAAGTTGTGTCTCATTTTCA